CGCCAATAACTCATTCTCAGCTCCCCCCTTTTTCGCTTCCCCGCCTTTTACCTTTTCTTTTTTCAACGTCTCCTCGGAAAAAATCCCTATTGTCCCGCCTCACCGTAACACAAGAAACCTCTATCGCGTCTGATCACCATTTAAAAATCATCAAATATTCCTGATATCATCCAGGCCGTTCTCTAATTTTCAATAGTGTTCTAGTATTGAATATAGCCGCAAGATAGTCATTATGACCGGCCAAGAAATATATTAAATGCACGACATTCTTGCGCAAAACATCACACTACCAGATTCCTGGATTGAGCTACCCACATATTAATATCATCGATTTGATATTATCCTATCTACAGATTCCACATCAATATCAGTATATCTTCTATTCCTTCCCGTCTTTGATCACGAGCTTTCAATCATTCATCATGATTCATGAAAACGATTGACCACGAGATGACCATCATCTGCAGTACCGAAGTACGGCAGTCATTCATTCACACCATTTCTCCAAGCTACACACCAATAAAATCTCACATTGTCCAATTCATTAATCCATAAATGAATCAGATCATCTTCATCTTCTCCATATCTCGCGTGTCAACGTCGTATCCCGTTCTCGAAAAAGGGAAAATCTCTATTTATCCCTTTTTTCCCCTCGTATCACCTTGAGACACCCCACCTCGTCCGGTAAAAACATACCGAGTACAATATATGTTGCATCAGACATGCATCCTTGAAAGGATGGATGAATTTCAACGGGGGTTTTAACCAAGGCCAGTCGGCCTTATCTCTCATTATCCCCTGAGAACCTGACTTTAGCAAAATTTGGATACGAGGAGCTTGTCTCATACATCTTTTTGTGGCTTGTATTAAATCTTCATCATGTAAGATCTTATGTATTTGTAGACTGGAATGGAGTTGTATCATACGATAACTTTGATAAAATCATGTTACGATATAGTTCTTACCACTTTTTATCTCATCATCTTCATTTTATAAGCTCATATATATACATACATGTAAGATGTCTCAAAACAACACAACCAGCCATCAAACCCCAAATGAAACCATATCAAAACATCAGCTACCCCACAAAACTCCCCCTACACACACCCAATATGTACACGACCGCATTCGGAAACCCCCAACGATTTATTCCGCACCATTCGCAACCCTTCCAAGTTCCCACCCTTTCTTCCTGCATCACATACCATACCCCATAAACCTTTCCCACAGCGGTTGAAATGACCCCTTGAAAATTAAATTCCTACCCGTCGTTGTCACGCATCGGCGCGCGCCGTTAAAACGCTGAAGCTAGATCTGGTCAGTTCAGCTTCCTTGCCCTGGTGTTTTTGAGCCACTTAATGCTGCTGTAACCCTTCTGTTTCCCTTGTTTCCTGCAAGTCAGACCGCATTCATTGTCACGTAATTTTATAACGTGTATGTCTAGATTTGGGCTTTTCCCTGTGGATATTGAAAATTGTGGATATGGATGATATTGACATCAGGTTGTATTGACAGCTGCATCTAAGTACCTTTGATGGTTACTTTTTATGTACATATACAATTGTGTTGTACGACTTCCTTTCTTCATGGCCATTTTTTGACAGTATGTAAAATATGTACAAGCCTGTATGATTCCTAACCGGTTCGGCCTTTCTTTCCATTTGTATCTTGAAGTATCATCATACATTCTATACTTAAGCCGAGTGGTTCCGGGAGAAGTAGTCCGTATTTTTACGAAGTCTTATCGAAGTACATGGTTTTCGAAATTGCATGCATTTATGTCCATGGTACATAGAATGTTATGAGTACTTATTCGTTCATTCGATAATAGCCGCGAAGAGGATGTATTAGAGAGTAAAGTACAGGAACATCAATGCATCATCTCTTCTACAGGATCAATGGAAGACGGGAAATAGTACCGATATGTAGTGGCCCGTACCTTACCGTATATCTTGAAATCTGGAGATATTCATATACCCTATGTAATAGGCTTGAAATGTTCCTGATACATAATCAGGTACCTCAACCTTTTCATCATTCTTCGGTTCTCACTCCGCAATTTTGTATATTGGAGACACGTAGAATAGCTATAGTATAGTAAACGAAGAACTTCTGCATCAATCGAAAGTAGATTCCGATTAAAGTCTTGGAGATAGTTTATACAATATGAATATGAACGAAACACATAGGATCGAAAAGGAACTCTATCCACTAATCTTCAAAAGCAGACAATTGTTTCAACTTCCATGATATTAGCTATATAATTCATCTACTCTATCTCACTATCGTATAACCCATCATCGTTAACATATATTACATCACGAGAGACATATGTACATTGTGTACAGCACTCCATATTTAGAACAAACACCCGAGTACCTATATAGTACGATTAATGATATATCTTGCCAAGTAAGCAATTCTCCCCTCCGCAAATAACACAAGAATTCCTCATTAATCTCCATACGTACATCCTCCTTTTCTCATCCCGTCTTCTCCTTTTACACTCGCGAAAGGTAGACTATCGATATATTCACTGTATATATCGGTCCGACAAACAGCTTCATCTCATTCGGGATGTACATGTCCCTTCTAAATCACGGAGTCTAGTCCCCTTCTCCTCTATCATTCCTTTCGTTTATTTCTCTCCGCTTCCTATCCGCTTAATGTGCATCTACTTGTATCCAATACATATGCACTGCGATGCAACAGTAGCCTTCTTATATTTCCCCGCGTCTTAGGTGCTGTACATCTAAGAGGAAGAATACCAATTAATTACCTTATATGCATTTCCCTAATCGAAGCTCAAGCTTTCAATCTCATCTTAATTTATCTCCCAATTCCAAGATTAGGGATATGAAAACACAAAAAGTTAAAAAATACATGTGATGCTTACTGTACTCAAATATTCTTTCCACATTTTCACATGTCAGTATTCTGATTTTCATTCCACATCTCATTCCATATCAAACCACAGACTCTCTAAGATCAACAAATTCATCCTCATCCCTACCTACCTAATACATAATCATAGGTAGGCATTACCACAGAACCAGAAATCACATGCATACTTTTCGCCCTACACTCCTCAAACCCACTTATCTATCTATCTATCATTCCATCCTACACTCCTCAAACTCACCTATCTATCTATCTATCTATCATTCCATCATATAATCTTAATCTTCCATCCCCTCAAAACTTTCCCCACAAACCTTAATTCTAGTAACACTTACGACGACGTCACACAAAGGCCACATCTAGAATCCACAAGTTCAATTACGTATACTTACTACTCACCTACTACTACAGAGAGAATATCGATCCATATTCCAATTTCTTGCCACCATTTCTCTTTCTCGCCACCACATTTTCATTCTCGCTAGAAATACACTAATAACACTACTACACTACACTATAAAAACCCATCTCAAGTTCTCATGCGGGGTACGTAAGGTTATACGTACCCCTCTATGATCGACCAAACCAGATGCAAATTTTAAACTCTAATCAAACCCCTAAACCTCCCTAAACCTCCCTAAACCTTTCTATGTAAGCCCCACAAACCACTAGACAAATCCCTTTTAAATTTCTCTAAACCTTCCTAGAACCCCACAAGTCATCTCCCCCCTAGACAAATCTCAAACTCTTACCCCCCTCACCCTAAACATCCCTAAACCTCCCTAAGCCCCCTACACCTTACAAACCCGTCTAAAACTCACTAAACTATTTTAAAACTCTTTTTATATTTATTTATTTATTTATTTATTTATTTATTTATTTATTTATTTATTTATTTATTTATTTATTTATTTATTTATTTATTTATTTATTTATTTATTTATTTATTTATTTATTTATTTATTTATTTATTTATTTATTTATATATTTATTTATTTATTTATTTATTTATACAAAATCTAATTAATAAAAATAAATTACAAATAAAATAAATATAAAAATAAAATAAATTTATATTTATCTTTATATTTAAAGATTTTTCAATTAATTTTATAATAATTTATTTATCGAGTAATTACAGATCAGTTCATGAGTTTCGTAAGATTACATTCATTGATTGATATAAGATCTTACCAGCATCTTCAAACGACTCACACTATACATGCATCATCCATCTTGTAGTCGCATCTCACATCCATTATCTATCTATCTATCAATCAATCAATCTCCAAATCCAAATCCCGAATCCCCAAACCTACAAACCTATTACCTCTCGCCTTCCACTAATAATTCATTCATTCACCTCCCACATCCCACCTCTTTCTTACCTCCCACAACCTCCCATCATTCAAAACAACCATCCCAATCCCAATCCCAATCCCACTCCCAATCCAACCAAGCAGTCAGAAATTAAATAAATAAATAAATAAACAAACAAATAAATAAATAAATAAACAAATAAATAAACTACCTAACCACCCACATAACCAACCAACCAACCACCCAACCAATATACAAAAGAATAAAAACCCCTATAAAAACAGATCTTTACTCACCTTACTCACTCACTCACTCACTCCAATACTCCATATACTCCATACCCCTTCATATCCCTCCATACACTCACTCACCTATATCACTTCACCTCTCCAGAATACCATCTAATCCTCATCATTCATCTATCCCTCTTTCATCTATCCATCCATCTATCCATCCATCCATCCATCCATCCATCTACCCCTTTATCATCTATCCCTTATCCATCTATGCAACTATCACAGAAAACAAAATAAAGAATTACATATTCCTCAGTCAATCAATAGGACCGACCGATGTTTTATTTACTTACTTACTTACGTACTTCGATTTCAAGGCGAATGAATACAAATACAAGATACAAGTAAATCTTACCTACTAGTCATAACCAATACAAACATTGATTGATCCAAATAACCAAGTAACTACTCAAGTACCTAGTATCCCAAAGCTAAATCATAATATTCTTGAATTCTTATTTCATTTCATATCATTTCATTTATTCGGTTGTTGTTACTATCAACCAATTCTAGCTAAGTACCTAAGCTAAGCAATACCTTCCACCCTTCCCTCCCCTTTCATTTGATAGCGCTACTCTGCTCTTCTCTGTTTCCATCACATCCCCAACCACGACGAGATAATCTGTCTTTTCATCCTCGAATTGCCCCATCCTATCCCCATCCCTATCCTCCCCATTTCCCATGTCTATAAATCCACTTTCAGGATGTGTGATTTCCCAGAATGCCAATGATGCATCCCAAACCCCTCGCTCCGTGGTGAAAACAAAAACAAAAAAAGCTAATGAAAACAAGTAAAAGGAAGTGTGCCAGCCGTGGGATGCTCCTAATCAGGAGAATCGATTTGATTCAAAAAGAAAAAAAAAAAGTAGTCTATAGTTTGAACATGCCGCTCTAAATATACAATCAAAACCCCGTTCCATGCCGCAAAGATAAACAAATCAATGAACCAAATAAAATGTTGAGTGAGGAGTCGAGATACTGACTCTGATGAGGTCATGAGTGGTGTTTGACAATAGGCTCGATGAGGTGATATTAATCGTAGTAATTATTTGTTTGACACGTGTCATTTCGTAATGAAGAAATGTCCATGGAAGTTTCATAACCAATGTATTGGTGAAAGTTTAACCACCTGAAATATCAATATTACCATTTGATTTACTGAAACATTGAAAGTCGTGCAATCAATGTTCCAGAAAAAAAGAAGTTGAAGACAATGCTAGGGTATCATCCTCAGATCATACGATCAGCGAGATCATTTCCAGCGACGCTACCAGTGGTACTACTTTGACCACTTGTATTAAAACCAATTTCACCAGGACTTGAAAGATCTTGTACAGCCACCGGAGCTTGAGGAACTGGTAATTTTCTCGTGCTACCATCCGTTCTTGACATGATGTCAGAAATGGTAAGACCCATTCTTGGAGCACTTGTAGTCGTTGGGTTGGTGGTGGTGGTAGCATGATATTGACCATCAAGATGTTGAGGTTCCATTGGTGCAAGAGCAGGAGTATGATGAAGAGACAGATTTCTAATACCCGGCAAATCATATCCACCACCATAAGGTCTTAAACGAGGCGAATGCGCAGGAGTAGCGAGCGGAGTATGATCAGGAGTTGGAGAAAGGGAATCGTGAGAGAATGTGGGTGAAGATGGTGCTGTCGACATTGGTGAATTGGGTCGAGAACGTTTCGCGTGACGATGAGCATAATGATCATCCTCTTCATGGGAATGCGCTCTCGTCATGGCATAAGCTTGAAGCGAAGGAAGATGAGTTCTGCTGTTGTGATTACTGTGGCTATAGTATGGTTGATGGCGTGCTTGCGAGTAATGATTTGCGGTTGTGCTACTGTCTCTCTCAACCTGTGTCGCCGCAGTAGCTAGCATGTTGATGTCTGTGAGAGGGGCTTGACTATTATTCGGGCTTCCTCCTAAACTTCTTCCGTAAGGGTTGAGACTCGAAAGGTGATTGCTGCTGTAGGAAGTATACGAGTGGGGTGGGGACACATTCGGGCTACCAATAGCGGAGGGTGGTGCTGATCTCGTAATGTTCTTGTTTGGTGGTGGCATCATGGTAGCCATCGACTCGGAATGCATGGGAACACCCATTTGAGGAGCTTGTTGTGTCTTGTTACTCCTTCTCGAGTTTGGATTGTTATGTATCCTCGAATGTCGGGTAAGCTCATCAGAACGTGAAAATCGCTTTGTGCAGCCTGGAAATAAACAAGCATGAGGTTTCTCTCCCGTGTGAGTTCGAATGTGTCTAGTCTGATGTTCGAGACGATGGAAAGCCTTTTCGCACAAAGGACATTTATATGGTCGAGGCAAATCTTGACGATCATCTCCATGGTGTCCACCGACCATAGCTGGCATCATACTGATGGCAGCCATTTCCGCTTCTCTTTGATGTTGTTGTTGCTGCTGAATCAAAGCCAATTTCTGTCGAGCAGCTTGATGTTCTCTCTCCTGAGTGGACTGAGGATTCAGTAGACTGTTAAAATCTACTGCGGAAGAAGCGCGTTGCATGTGATCGCCGCCGCAGCGAATAACTACAATTTAGATTGTTGACTTTTTATTTATTTTCCCTACTCCCTCGATACAGTCTAATAACCTAAAAAGGAAGACTTGATATGCGATTGGAAGAGTCGATTTAGTATTGAGAATAAACGAGGAAGAGAAGACAGAAGTCAAAAGCCAATTTCGAATTAAAATGCCGAAAACTTTTTTTGGGAAGTGGTTTGGATTTGGGGAATTCGTCAATGATATATACAAAGTGGTAATGGTGGGTGAGCCTTAATAAAGTGGGTTATGTTCACTTGTAGTAAGGCCGAAGCGGAGGAGAGCGGGAGTGAATAATAAGTTTTGAGACTGAGACCTTATTTTGGTGAATAATAATAAGTTAACGAGTGTTTACGGGATGGGGGGGAATGTGATTTTTGGTTTTTGACCAAGGTGGGTTTTTTCGATTTCTGGTTGGTCGGTTGGTTGGATGGATGGATGGATGGATGGATGGATTTCAATCAAGGTTAATGGTTGAGTGATTTGTTGAATGATTGTGTTGTGTTGCGCTGCGTTGTATATTGTGTATGTATGTATGTATGTATAGTGTCGGATGTGATTATGTTGACGATGTAGATTTTGGTAGATGTGGTAGAGTGATTTGCTTCAAATGCGTGTGCATCTAAAATGCTTGGAATGACTTGAGGTGAAGGAAGACTTGGACTGGAACTCGAACTGGAGCTGGATCTTGGAACTGAGACTGGATCTTGGTATGATTTCTTTTTCGTTCGAAGAAATCCAAATGACGGGGTAGCAGACGGAGAAGAAGATGTGCCGAAGAGGGGGGTTGCTTTCAACTTGTATGAAATTTACAGAGATGTGAATTGAGGTGAGGAATAAAGTGAGAGTGTTAAGCGTACCTCTTAAGCGTAACCAAGTGCCAGTGCCAGTGCCAGTGCCAGTGCAAGTGCCAATGCATTACCGTAAAAGCTGATTTGAATGTAATTTTTCCAAAATGGGTCAAGAATTCTCAAAAAATAAATAAAAAAACGCACTAAGCTAGTGTCGGTGTGGTGTATCAGAGTAGAGGAAAGTGTGGGTTGGTGGGCGGAAAAAGTTAGGACGTGGTAGGTAGTGAGTGTTAGTATTGTTAGTATTGTTAGTATCGTTAGTAGTTGGGAAGGGCATGGGGGGGCGTGGGTTGTTTGTGTCAGTCCTCAGTCCCCAGTCCAAGGGAGAGAAGAAAAAAAAGTGTGGGATTTCTTTTAATTTCACCGGCTCTTATCTTTTTTAGGTAGGGGAATGTGCATAAAAGGGTAAGCATTATTCGGATTGGAAAGTCTTATTCTTTTAGCTCGGCTTCTTTTTTTCATTTCTCATTTCTCATTTCTCATTTCTTTTTCTTTTTCTTTTTCTTGGTGTTTTTCTTGGTCTTTTTCATTTCCTTGGATAAAATCTGGAGATTGAAGATATCTATCTGTATATCTACATTTACATCTATATATATATATATATATACTTGTATCTCCCTATTAAAAATCAACATCTAAATCCCCCAACTCGCCGAATTCTCATTTTACTAATCACTCTTCCAACTCTCGCTCCCTTCACGCCCAAACAAGGCTTATTAATTCTATAGCCGTACCTATCGTATACAATATCTGGGGATCAAGATGTAACGAATGAATCCCCCCATCCCCCATCCCCCATCCCCCATCCCCCCATCGTTTCATTCCAACGAGGAAAGGACAAAAAAGAGGACAGTTATCTATACCCCAGACCAACACCGAAAGAAGTCAACCCCCACAAAGTCTAACCAGGTGAATGATTTCTTCCCCTCCTCTCATCAAATCATTGGAGAGAAGGGAAGAGAAGCACCGAGATTGTTAAAGTCAAAATGGAATGGATATTGGTCAATGGACATGGACATTGGATATTGAAATGGATTAAAGGAATTTGGATCGATCGATCGATGTGAAGATAACATGTGAATATCTATGAACATTGGAACGTCTCCCTCGTGAATGAACAAGCAGGAAGGAGGAGGCAGGATAGATTTTATAATATTATATCAATCGTATCATATCATCTTCACATCGTCATCATCATCATCATCATCATCATCATTAGTCATTCACACCTCTGTCTCTTTTCCGATTTATCCCCTTCAATTCCTTTTCCCATCCGTCTCCTTTTCTTATTAAATACCATGTCATTCCCCTTCCATTCCTTTCCCTCCCTCCCCTTCTCCTCTCACTGCATACTCAATTCTAATAAAAGTATTATGCGCCTTGCGACGATGCTGTACTGCATGTAACTGTAGGCTATGTACCTTTTCTTGGATTGTACAAGTACATTACCTTCCCTTACCTTACCTTACATTACATTACATTACGATACGATACAACACAATACAGCACAACAATACAACAATCCAACAATCCAACAATCCAACAATCCAACAATACAATCCAACCGTCATTTTGATAATATATCTTGTAATACTTACTTATCGTTATACATCTGACGAAATGGATCTCCGTAGGAAGGAAGGAAAGTGGGTGGAGGGCGGATGGGTGGTAGATGGAAATATGAAATGGTCTGTCTGTCTGGTCTTGTTCTTGATCCAACCTAGCATCACATAAATAAACAGCATGGAATCAAAGATCTATTATCAATGGAAATCTCACAATGAATGATGAATGATGAATGAATAAGGCAAATAATTTATTTTATTTTCTAGCAATAGACTTTTCCAATCCCTTCCTCCCTTCCTTCCTTTCTTCCTTTCTTCCTTTCTTCCTTTCTTCCTTCCTTCCTTTTCTTCCCTTCTTCTTTCCTTCCCCTTCTCTCACAGTAAGTATCACTCAAGCCACAACTGACTAAATAACTCCACGATCGCTTTTCTGATGAAATATGGCGTGCGCATTCATTCTTTTCCCGGGGTATCCCCTTATTCTATTTATTTCATTTATTCCATTTATTCCATTTATTCCGTATATTCCATATTAACTTATTACTCAATCTCGCTCAGGCAAAATCAATCTTACACGATAAATTCCACACAACCTAATATTATTTGAGTAATAAAATCCATTTTTCGAGACACACACATACAAGAAAGAAGGCTGTGTGTGCTTCTATGTTCCCTGTAAAGTTTTCAAAGATTATGTCGTCTTCCTCTCTCGTACAACTACTCGGCCCCATATTCGCGGCTTCTTCAGTTAGTTGGTCAGTCGGTTGGTCAGTCAGTAAGGTAGATAGGTAAGTAATAATAGGTAGGTAGGTAGGTAGGTAGAATTGAATCTTGATGCATAAAAGAGAAGTGGAAAATGGAGAAAAAAAGGAATAAAAATGGTATGATCGATCAACATTCGAATCATGGTCTGAGAAAAAACAAGATGTCATCAATCAGTCAGTCAGTCAGTCAGTCAGTCAATCAATCAACTTATAAGAATTCTCCATATTCCCCTTCTCCACCGGCACTTACTTGCTTACTTACCTACTTGCTTGCTGGTGATATTCTCTGCTTGGAAAATCTCTGTTTCTCATGCTCCTCTGAACTGATATTATGTGATGTGATGTGATATGATGGATGATCAACATTACGGATGCAACCAAGACGCAAAGCTAGAACACCCATCTTCCATCTTCCGAGAACTAGAAGCAGTCTGATGGATGCATTTTCCGCAGGTATGGATACATTGTTTGTTATGTAAATCAATGGCTGATCAATACACTACTGGATTGCCGTACCATTAATGCATGTGGACGGAACGTTTTTGCTTTTTGGCATCGATTTGATCATACATACATAGAATATCATACATGAATCTGGCTGGTTTATCCTGACGACCTGTGATGTCTGTAAACTTGTTGCCGGAAATAAATATATATGAGAATATACATATCATCATACCTACCTACGTTTGACTAACTCAGCCAAGCACATCCATCCATCCATCCATCCATCGAATATCCCACATAAACCTCCCTCCATCCCTCAAATATTCACACAAAAGCAGGCTTTTATTTATCAGCTGAATCATAGGGATTATGGATGCAACAGCATGATTACAACAGGCATAGGAATAGGAATCAATGAACGAGATGAGATGAGAAAGTTTTTAATAATCGAACGGTGCAGTGCAGTAGTACTCCGTAATCTTTCGTAACACTTATTTGATACTAAGTTATGTATCACCACAAATAGTTTTCGAGCTTCGTCGCATCGGGGGTTTGAGTCTGACTCCGTTTTTTCCTTGCTGTTGGTGGGTGTGGCACAGGCGTATGCGGGCTGCGTGATGGGCGATGAGATATACAGGGTGTGAGTGGTGTTTAGTAGATTGTTGGTATGGAGGGCGAGATGGTGCAGAACATGGGGTATGTATGTTGTTGGTTGTATATGTATGTATATGTATGTACTTCCATACTACAGGTTAACATTTTAAGGCTGCGCTGTGCTGCTGAAAGGGAATCCCGGCTATGATATTGTAAACAATAGGCTATGTCTTATTCATATCTACCTCTCGTCAGCCTGGAATTTTCCTTGTTGATAGTATACTGAATTTATATGAATTTATTCGATCCCGAACCAGACAAATTCAGCAATATCGTGGATCAGTAATGTGATGTGATGTGATGTGATGTGATGCCTCTAATACATACATACTTACTCAATAATTCCCATCAATAGAGATAAGTAAATCCTGAGCCCTAAGTACCAGGTACTAGGTACTAGGTACCAAATAAATAAATAGCTACCCAATCGACACACCGAAACATACTACATACTCGAGTAAGTACCAACCTACAAAAAAACCAAGCCTTAACAACATCACGCATCCATCCTATCCGCCTTATATATCCCAGCTGAAAGGAAAATTATCATATATGCAGCCAGCATGATCATCATATCTACCCAATCTGCGTATACCGTTATGGACTTGAGATCAATGGGGTTCTTGGATACAGTCAGATTGTTGGGTAGGATGGATGGGGTAGTAGGATATGAATAGAGAGGAGAGATTGGAGATGGGGTTGATCTATAGCTAGATGTCTAGCTGGGGAAATTCGGACGGATGCACTTGTTTTGGTGATTTGTGATTTCTTTTCTATAAAGAAGTAGGGAGAGTTGATTAGATGGATGGATGGAGGGATATGAGATGTTTCTTTGTATAAATCTTTATTATTCCCCCTTATTGATTTAGAAAATTTATACATATTTATATACTTATATACCTAGGTATTTACCTATTTATTCCATCCAAACATCACCAATCTAACTACAACCGCAACAATAAAAGTTTCCTCCTCCTTATCCACTCTCCACGTACCTATGTAATAACCAAGCATGCCCTCCATACTCCCTCCTTACTCCGTACATGTTACATACATACAACCATCCGACCATCCGACCACTGACCAATTTTCCAAACATCCCCAACCCAAGGCTACTTATTACTCTACTCTGTAGCGGACGGAGTAGAAAGGAAACTGGAGCATAGCATAGGGGTACAGAGTAACCAACCTACTTCTCAGAAGCAGAAGCTCGTTTCGTAGTCTTATATCGTTTTGTGAGTCGTGATTGAATGTTTCTAATACTATGATTATGAGTATATATTTACTATATTGATATCTAAGTTTTGTTGAATTTTAAGAGGTAGAAGGTTTATTGATGTAAATATATATATATATATATGCATTTATATGTACAAGTGTTAGTATACTAAGAGTATCATCCTAGCATCTTGCTTGATATATACAAAGAATAAGAATCTCTCAGCCTTATTTTCTAATCATTTGCTTGGTATTCTTGGTATATAAACTAGTCGTCTTTCTAAAAAATTTATTCATTTGCTAGGATTGATTGATGGCATTTTATTATTATTTATCATTTACAGACTG